CAGGGCATAACAGACTAAACGACTCGATAAGGGAAAGTGACAAGTATAGAGACAGGACACTGAATCGCGACCGTTAGTTATTCAGGCGCATAGTGAGATTCTAATTCTAGGATCAATCAAGTTTACCAGTTCGGAAGATGCACGAAACGAGCAATTATCACACCACACACATCCAATCAACACACTCACACAGTTGATAAATCGAAACCAGGAAGTAACAGATGATTGGGAGAGGAGATGAAGACCAACAGAAATAATTATTCGCCTATCAATTCTTGTTGATCTAAAGGAAAGGAATGGAGGACCAAAAGATCAGGATCGAAAGGGTTCTCTTCCTGAGCACACAGGTCCACGAGCACACACACATACACATCATATCCAGAGCTGAGCATATAACTCAAGATGTGTGGTAGTGTTGGGTGTCGCTGTGTGAAATGTGTGTGTTGTGCTCTCGTGACATGCCTCGCTGTGTTGTATAGCTAGTGTGTGTGTGAGTCGTGACTGTGTGTGTTGTGATAATCCGTGTATTCATAGTCTATATATAACTACACCTTATCACCTCAATTCAAGTATACCTGAGTTACCTACCTAATCATCAGAACCTATTCCAAAATGAGATAAGCTCACAGATATTGGAATCATTATCTCATTACAGCAGACATATTTACAAAGGCCTAACAGTCTATACGACTAATTGATAACACAATTCCGCTTAATATAATATGTTGTGTGTCCATATCAGTGAGAGGGAAGGACCTATATGTATGATATACTACTACACCTGATCTCGGAGGATAATGGAGGAAGTGAATGAGCTCAAATTATCTATTCTCTATACTCATAAGGTAGTAAGGATCACGGAGTCAGATACCCTATTATATGAAATCGACACAAGATTCACGAGCAATATATACCTCAAGGATACTATTTCATAGCGAGCCGAGAATCATCACGAGAGTCAGAGTATTCATACCCAAGTAGTTAATATGTACTATTCTATCGTTAGGAAACTGGAAGAGGGAAAGTTAGAGAAAGAGGTGTTAACTAATAGGAAGTAGAGAAACAAGATTCGATAATAATGAACAAATCCAGAGGCAAAGGGGAAATCGAGGATTTACAAGTGGGCAAGGTGAGAGGCGTGGACAGAATTTTGAATTTGGAAGTGGCCGCAGAGTTATACCAACAGGAAATAGAAACTTTGGAAGTAATCTTAGAGGAATATCTCAAGGCAATAGAGACTTTTATTGATATTTGGTGATTATGAAGATACTTTAACAGCGAGTAGAGAGTTCCGACGTGGGAATCTATCGGATTTTTCAGATGATCTGCAGGCAGGGTCAACAGGAAGCAGAGAATTTTTCACAGGTGGTAGAAACGTGCCAAGTGGCGGAAGAGACTTCACCGCAGGGAGAGCGATCCGAGCCGAGAGAAGGACTTTCCAGCGAATTCCGTGGAGGCGACGACGGAGACAGATGGGGAAGCTTCTCGTGGTTCTCAGACTTCCCTGCGGAGGTCTCGCTGACCCGAACCGAAGAGACGATTCCCGAGAAGATCCGAGAGCTGGCCAACTCCATCGAAGCGAAGGCTCGAGCCTGGACGCAATTCGGGCTGCAGAGAACGAGACCCGAGTTCAGAAGAACCCGACGTCCCGCGAAAAAGTGAAGACTGAGCAACGGGGATTTTTTTCTTAAACTTCCTTTCTTTAACTCCCTTTTTTATATAAAAAGTTCGTTTGTATATACACACGAGCTACAACAATATATATATATTAAACATAATATATCAGTGTGAGTGTATTGGTTGTTCGCGCAGTTTCGCGTTGTCGTGTGTGCGCTAGACAGCTGTCTTAGTGTCACGCATAAGTTCGTGATGGTGAGCGCGGTGGTTCGCTTCGGGCTGAAGGATTCTACTCGGAAGGCACCATTAATTTTACCTTGTAGGATATAAATTATGCATGTAGCTCGGTGGTATTCAGTGGTACTAGCTGTTCACTCTTCGCTGACGCATAGATGGCTTGTGGGTGGGCAGCGCAGTGTATGAATGTAACGGTAAGTAGCAAGGTACTTTCTTCACATACTCAGCCTAGCGCTCTGATTTATTACCGCCCGCGCCGCACCCCCCCACAAGTCCAGTATAAGAGAGTATAAGTGTCGAGTGAATCCGGTTCAGAGGGCCACGCAACCACAAAGAAGTTGAATCCAGAGCGCAGGTAACAATAATAGAGCCCCCTGTTACACCCGGTGTGAACACATTTGGTCTGAATCGTATGTGATGAAATTTGTTATCTTCTGTCCTATGCCTCTTCGAAGGTCTCTAGGAATTGGGATGTGATGTGGAAGAGGAGGGTGGGGCGTGTAGGTGTAGGAAGAGGGGAGAGGGAGCTGAGAGGGTAAAGGAATGGGGAGGGAGGTGGAAGCGACAGGGTGAGTGGATGGAGCTGAGTGGGTCCGATGCCGAGGTGGAGAGGGAGGGAGGGAGGTGCGTATGTGGAGAATGGTGA